AAAAAAAAAAAAAAAAAAAAAAAAAAAAAAACTTGCAGTTTTTCGTTTCATTTTATTGTCTTACTCTTGGTTCATTCCCATTCCACCTATTTTTATTTTTTAAAATTTTTTATCTACTCAAGATAGTTTTAACTTTTTTTAATATCTTCCAAATACAAAGATATTACTTTCGTTTATTTATTTAGTTTGTTAAGAAACTAATTACTCTAGTAACATTGGATCAGAGTATGGATCAGTAGGATTAGTTTCTAGAAGATGTGATGTGTACAGCTACGGCATAATGCTCATGGAAACATTCACAAGAAAAAAGCCATATGATGAAATGTTTCAAGAAAATTTGAGCATGAGGAGTTGGGTCTGTAATTCAATACCTGCAACACCAGAGGATATTATTGATGCCACCTTATTTGAACCAGAAGAGATTGATTTCAAGAAAAAGTTGCATTGTGTGTCCTCTATTTTGGAGTTGGCATTGAATTGCACAGCTGAATCTCCTAATGAGAGGCTGATCATGAAAGATGTCCTGCCAAATATCAAGAAGATCAAGCTGGAATTTCTTCGCAAATGATGTAGCAAGGTTTATATGATGGTAAGTATCCAGCTTTTTCATCGATATTCTCATGTCATCCGGATGAAAATGATTATTTTCTTGTCTATACCATATATAAATCTAGAAAATGAGCATTTTCTTTCATACAAACATCTCCCTTATAGTAAAAAAAGAACTGAATTGAAGGACATCTTTTTAAGGAGTCTTAATTTAAGAAGGCAAAATAAAAGGAAAACAAAGGTCCAATGAAACTAAGAAAGAAATTTAAAGTTCAAGAAATTAAGAGTTTCATTTATCGAAGGAAAATTATAAAAATAACTCAAGTCTCAGTTACAACTAGTATATTTTTGCATTCGTATCCATAATGAATGAGCCAAATCAAGTTTGATCCCCTTTAATTTTGAACAGGTAGTGCCGCCTTTTCCTCTGGGTGACACCAATTGAGATGACAACCAATATTTGGTCCGAGATTTGGACTTTTCTTGTTTATTGTGCTTTTCTTTTGTGCGTGTTTAAAGTTTTTGTGTGTGTGTGTCCTTTAACATATGTGTGTACTGAAGTTGGCATGGAAGAATGCCTTGTATAATATTGATGATCATTATTATGTAGAATCAGCTTCAAGAGTCGATGAAGAGCAGTGTAAAATGTTGAACTACAAGTTATAGGCTCTTTTGGTTACCAAGTTAAATGCTTAACAGCTTGACTGCAGATTGAAAGCACAAATACCGTCCAGATTTTTCACTGGCTCACAAGTCACAATTGAAATTGAAACTTAAAACCTAAATATTTAAGGTGGGTCCTAATTGGTGAAAAAAAAAACTAAAAGACTGAAAACTCCTTTCCCAAGTACTTAGATCACCCGCCCAATCACTAACACTTGGCAACTAAAATCCAGTGACTCCAAGAAGAAAGCAATTTCCAGTAAAAATCCAACATTAACTGGACCAAGTAGCAGTTAGTAACAAACATAAAAAATTAGAAAAAACTTTGGGTTCGTTTCTAGTACATCATTTGGCTTAGGTTTCGTACATTTGTTAATACTCCAATATTGACTCTCAACATATCAGAAAGTTTCTTTAATTCAATTTTCAATAGTTTCTGTCACTTGCAGCACAAATTTGTCTTCTCACTGACAAAGACAGCATGACAGCTCCTATAATCACATACAAAAGCTTCACTCTCTTTGTGGTTCAGTATGTTATTATGTTAGTGGTATCTTCATTAATCCCATAACTCAAAAACCAGAGATATGCTCAGTGAGAAGCATGCACCTCTTTTTTCTTGAACTGTTGGTCTTTGGGCAACTGGTTTGCTAACCCATGGCAGCAACCACTATCACCACTGATCAATTCGCCCTTCTTGCCCTGAAGGTTTGAAGGCTCAAATCACTTAAGACCCTCAAGGTGTCTTGGCAAACAGTTGGTCTACTTCTATTCTAGTTTGCTACTGGTTTGGAATCACTTGCAGCGCTTTCCACAAGAGAGTAAGTTAAATAGATGTTTCGAACATGGGTGATGGGTCTTAGAGTCCTAGAGAATTAGGAAATCTCTTNAATCTCTGGCACGACACGGATAATATCAACTAGCCGCCGAGGCCCTCCGCCATTATCTTGCACACCCGGCTATGGATCTTCCCCTTCTTTCAGGTACCTAACCTTTGAAAGGAATTTTAGATTCATGACCTCAGAAACACCTAAAAGGGCATTCTATATCCCTACCTTTTGTTGTCCTTAAATGCCCCCTACAAAGAAGCTAGCAGCACTTTAACTAGAGGAGTTTTTTGTCTTTTCATAAAAACAACCCGGCTTGGATCTTCCCCTTCTTTCAGGTACCTTTGTTTAACAAAAACGATGGATTCTTTTTTCACATGGTGGGTGTGAATATTCACTCTTCTTCGTGATTTAACTTTTCAGTCTGAGTTATTGTCCAAATTGTAGTATTTCTTAAGGGTATAGCCAGGGTAAATATATTTATATCAAATTAAGTAAATTTAATAAAGTAATAATAGGCATTAATTAACCATGAAAGTAATAAATTAACTCGTGATTCTATTAATTTGATACTACAAACGTGGGGTGCAGTTAAGTTTTTACCGAATAGCAAGTGTTTGGTGAATTTAATTAGCTCCATACTGTTAAGTTCATTGCTAGTTTATGATTTTTAAAAGGCTCAAAGTCCAAGAACTGATTGTCTGTATCTCAGCTTCTCCATCCTTTAATTTGACTTGTAGGATCTCCTTTTCCTCAGGTGTTTTCTGTTCATGATGTTAATCAGTGCCGGCTGAAGTATACGGTAACTAAAGCAAGTGCTTTAGGCCCTCAAATTTGAGGGGTCCCATTTTTCAGTAGTAGTAGCCTAGTAGGTATATGAATTAATTTTTTAAAAATTTGAATATTTTGAAGTAAAAAAAAGTATATTTTTTAATAAACTAAGAAAATAAACCTTCAAAATTTTGAACAATTAGAAGCGTATGAAAATATTTTTGGTTTCCTATTTCGAGGTATAAGAATTTGATATAACTAGGTGACGAGATTTTGGAAACACATTGCCTTAACGGCGAAACATATTGATGGTTTAGACTTATTTTATGAATTAAAACATGAAAGAAAGATAATACTCTAATTAATATACTCAATCATATAAAAAAGACTTGATTCTTTTCTAAATGCGTATATTATTTATATAATAATGTTAACTATAAAGAAGTACAATGGATTAATATTTTTTTTTATAGAAAAAACAACTTAAGGCCACTCATCAAGGTTTGGCTTTAGGCCACCGATTTTGTTGAGCCGCCTTTGATGTTAATCTTTATTTGTAAAATAAGGGGAATTTGATAATAATTACTACTTAATCAGTTTTTGCTTAAGCAGTCCTCTATAACAACTCGCTAGGTTTGATTAAGTTAGACATATAGATACACTTGTAAGGCTCAGGGCATTTTCAGAAAGTTACCCATTCTGAGTTCATATTGAGGTATAACTAAGTAATGGGAAAAGCCACATAATGTCTGTCCAAAAGGGTGCCTCTGGTCTTTGAAATGGCATTAAATTAAGAAGAAATTAACAATCAGTATTGACTATCATTTGGCTTGTTTCTAAGCTTTCTATTTTTATATGTTGAGGAATTTTCGTGGAAAATGCTAATGAATTCAAGAATGACAATCAGTCCAATATGTTTCAACGATGGAAAATGCTAATGAATTCAAACCTAACATCATCATTGTCTGTCACCTTCCTCCATTTCTCTTGATTGACCTTAAAGTGGACAACTGTTTGAATTCTTTACAGAAAAGAAACCGCAGCTAGTAGTAATGGGGATATATGCCTTAGTGCTGGTACACTTTCTCTATTCCAACATAAACACAATCATGAAGAGAAAAAACAATTTCTTTTCCCCTCTTGTAGTTTCAATATGGCACCATTTTCTGATATTATCAGCCACTGCAGAAGTCAACCTCAAAACTGATGAGGCTGCTCTTCTTGCTTTGAAATCCTATCTTACTTCTGATACTTACAATATCTTGACAAGCAACTGGACCTCAACCACTTCAGTTTGCCAGTGGATTGGCGTAACATGCGGCTCTCGCCATCAAAGAGTCACAGCCTTGGATATTTCCAACATGGGACTAATAGGCACCATCCCTCCTCACTTGGGAAATCTGTCTTTTCTGGTCTCCCTTGATATCAGTAGCAACCGTTTCCATGGAATTCTGCCTCAAGATTTGAGTAATTTGCACAGATTAGAATTTATAAATGTCACTTCTAATAAGTTCACTGGAGATATTCCCTCATGGTTTTCTCTTTTGCCAGAACTCCAGCACTTGCATCTAGCATTTAACAGTTTCACAGGTATTATTCCACCGGCCATTTTCAATGCATCCAAGCTAGAGAGTTTAGTGTTGGGAGTTAATCAGTTACAAGGGGAAATTCCAAATGAAATTGGTAATCTTCAAGGCTTGACATGGTTGAGTTTGGGATCAAATCAGCTAACAGGCCTTGTACCACTTAGCCTGTTCAACATTTCATCGTTACGACGTTTGGTCCTGACAAACAATAGTTTGTCTGGAAACCTTCCTGTCGATATATGCTCGAATCTCCCAGAACTCATGGTACTTGCACTGTCTAACAATGAATTTGATGGACAAATTCCTTTGGACATCGACAAATGCTCAAACCTTCAAATTTTGTCATTATCATTCAATAGGTTCACTGGAGTGATACCTAGAAAGATTGGGAACTTGACTATGATATCTTCTTTATACCTTGGTCGAAATGATTTGGAAGGTGAGTTATACATATTTGTATTTTTTCTTCTTTGAGCATACATGAAAAATATTTCTGGACTCATGTATGTGCTCCTTAATTGCTCTACTGCAGAAAGTGGACTTACTATTTATGATTTAATTTGCAGGTGAAATACCAGAAGAGATTGGATATCTCCGTAATCTAGAGATATTGGATGTGCAGAACTGTAGCCTAAGTGGTCCATTACCATTTTCTATAAGTAACATAACTTCACTTCGATTGCTCAACCTTTATGGCAATAAGCTCTCTGGCTCATTACCCCCGGATATGTGTTTGAACATGCCTGATCTCAGAGCATTTGATCTTGGAAATAATCAATTCAGTGGAACCATTCCAAAAGAATTTGGAAACTGCACTTCACTTTCTGACCTCTTCCTAAGAGAAAACAACCTAATAGGTATCATCTTGGTTTTTTTTTATCAAGCTTTTGGTGTATATTGGTATGCTATTCTTATCCTTATGTGGTTCTTGGTATCATCTTTTCCTTTTCTTTTACAAGATTTTGGTGTATGTTGCTATGCTTTTCATATCCTGATGAGTCACTCAAACATCATCAGGTGAGTTACCAATGGAGATTGGTAATCTTTTCAATTTGGGAAGATTAGATCTACACTACAACTTCTTAACAGGTCCTATTCCATCTACAATATTTAACATGTCAAACATAAGGGGCATTTCATTTTTGGGGAACTTCTTTACCGGAAGTCTTCCAGCAGATATAGGACTTGGCCTTCCTAATCTTGAAGAACTTTATCTTGGTTACAATAACCTGACTGGATCCATCCCTAACTCACTGTCAAACGCTTCCAACATTTTCCGGCTAGGAATTGGATATAATAACTTTTCTGGTCCTTTTCCGAGGTCATTTGGTAATCTAAAACGTTTAGAGTACCTAAATGTGAATGACAATCATTTCACAAGAGAACCTTCATCTCCAGAATTGACTTTCTTCGATTCCTTGACAAATTGCAGACATTTAAGACAACTGTGGATAGGTTATAATCCACTCGATGGAAATCTCCCCGCTTCTGTTGGAAATCTCTCAAGTTCTCTTGACTATGTTTATGCTGCTTATAGTGAAATCAGAGGCAGCATGCCCCGTGAAATTGGATATTTAAGTGGTTTGTCTTTCTTGTTTCTTCAAGGCAATTACTTGAGTGGATTCATTCCAAGTTCAATAGGGAATTTAGAGAATCTTCAAGCATTAAATTTGTATGGCAACAAAATGATAAGTGGACCTATCCCTGAGGAACTCTGCAATTTGAAGAATTTGGGATTCTTGAGTTTGGGAAATAATGAGATTTGCTGTTNTTGAAGAATTTGGGATTCTTGAGCTTGGGAAATAATGAGATTTGCTGTTCTATACCAGCATGTTTAGGGAACATTAAATCTCTTAGATACGTTTACTTAGATTCCAACAAATTGATTTTTAGCATACCTCCCAGCCTGTGGAACCTCAATGATCTCTTGCATCTTGATGTGTCCTCAAATTTCTTGGAAAGCTCTCTACCTCCAGAAATTGGAAATTTGAAAGTCGCAACATTACTGAATGTATCGAAGAATCAAATCTCAGGAATTATCCCGAGCACAATTGGAGCAATGCAAAACATGGCTGAACTTTCTTTTGCAGAAAATAGACTAGAAGGGCCTATTCCAGAGTCATTGGGGAACATGGTTGCCTTGGAATCGTTGGACTTGTCTCATAACAAGCTCTCTGGTGGAATTCCCAAATCACTGGTAGGTCTTTCCCATCTTAACTATCTCAATGTATCTTACAACAGATTGAGTGGTGAAATTCCAACTGGAGGTCCTTTTGCGAACTTCTCTTATGATTCATTCCTTTCAAATGAGGGATTATGTGGTGATGCTAGATTGCAGACACCAGCATGTAGGTCTAATTCTCCTCATAGGAAAAGAAAAAAGAATGTGCTTCTTATTGTGTTGATCTCACTGATGGCTGCTTCAATCATAATGCTCTCAGTCACGCTCACCATCTTTTTGGTGATTAGATGTCGAAAGAGGAAAACAATCATTGCTACTCATCAGGCGGATTCTTCTCCAGCCACATTACATGGAAGAGTTTCGTACCATGACCTTCAACAAGCAACAAATGGATTCAGTACGAGCAACTTGCTCGGATCTGGAAGTTATGGGTCTGTTTACAAAGCTACATTTGGGAGTACTATATTGGCCGTTAAAGTATTCAATTTGCAAACAGAAGGCGCATTCAAGAGTTTCGATACAGAATGTGAAGTCTTGCGCAACGTTCGTCACAGAAATTTGGCTAAAGTCATCAATAGTTGCTCCAACGTTGATTTCAAAGCCTTGGTATTAGAGTACATGCCTAATGGAAACCTAGACGATTGGCTTCATTCTGAGAGTTGTTCCTTAGATATCATGCAGAGAGTAGACATAATGATTGATGTGGGATCAGCATTAGACTATCTCCATCATGACTATTTTGTGCCGGTTGTTCACTGTGATCTAAAGCCTAGCAATGTCCTACTCGATGAAGATATGGTTGCACATGTGAGTGACTTTGGGCTAGCAAAGTTATTAGGGGTAGGAGAAAGTATTGCACAAACCAAAACTCTTGCAACCATCGGGTACATTGCACCAGGTAACAATCATGTCACAAAAATGCTTCATTTCTCCTTCTAATTTCAACCATTTGAAAGACACCATATTCTCTTGATATCTTGTTGTATTCTAATGCAGAGTTTGGATTGGAAGGACTGGTATCTACAAGGTGTGACATTTACAGCTATGGTATCATGTTGATGGAAATGTTTACAAGAAAAAAGCCAACAGATGAACAGTTTGCTGAAAATTCAAGCTTGAGGGGGTGGATAAGACAATCATGGCCACACGCGATGGACAAGATAATAGATCCTGAGCTAATGATACCAGAAGAGAAGAACAAAACAGGAAAGATGCAGTGCTTATCATCCATTATGGAATTAGCTCTGAGGTGCACAACGGACATGCCAGAGGAAAGAATGAATATCAAACATGTTCTTGCTCAACTCAAGACCCTCAGAACTATGTTGGAAAATGTAGTAATGCATTAAAGGATTGAGGAAGATGTTTATATATAATTATATTACTGTGAAGTTGTTAAAATTGAATTTCTGTTTTGAAGGCCTCAATATCTTATTTAGAAAGTTCATGTTTGCTGAGGTCCTTTTGGGCTACCATTCAATTGACAGAAGAAAAAAGAGAGTTAAAATTAGAGTGTCCGGGCTAGATTACACGAACATCTACGATTTCACCAAAATAGGTGCAACCTCCTATCAGCATAAGTACCGGTAACTTTGTCCTCCAATACTTGGGCAGATTGGAAGAAATCACCGGATATTTCTTGCCTCCCTGATTTTATCCTGCTTCATTGCCATTATACTACACCTTGAACAAAATCACCGGAAATGTCCCCTGCATCTCCACCACTTCTTTACCCCATCGGGGTAGAGGTAAGGTCTGCGTACACCTATGTTGCGCGGACTCTCCAAAATGTAGCCGCACCCGTGCCGGATCCTTCAAAAATGCACTACTTTTGGAGGATCCGACACGTATCCGGCCACATTTTCGGAGGAGTCCGAGCAGCATAGGCGTACACACTACCTTCCCCGGACCCCACTTATGGGATTATACTGGATCGTTGTTGTTGTTGTTGTTGCGTAGTTGCGTGCTACGTACCATGGGTGATTACAAGAATCTCCACATAATGTAATTATAGGTAAATTAGAAAAGTACTTTTTAAACTGTCTTTTGATATGTATAAAAGATATATAAAATAAAAAAAATCAGGTAGAAGAAAATTTAAGTAGAAATAAAAATATAATAAATTAAAGAAGTATAGAATGGGGCAACCCAACCGTTTGGTATCAAAAGTTAGTTAAAAAGGCCCCAAAGAAGAATTGAAAGGGTAGTTTTTTCCTTGTAAGATGAAACAGTGTCAGGGGTTCTTGTTAGCCATTATCCTCTTCCAAAATCCCTATGAAAAGAATACAAAATCAAAAGCGTAAACACCAGACTTTGTCATAGTTAGGTGGGAAGTAGTTATAGCAGATGGCAATTTTTTTCTGTATTCTATTCGAGGTCAGCTTTATAACTATCCTAATATCCAACCTTTTTTCTTAATGCCTTAAATTTTACTCATTTGTTATTTCTGGATGATCCTAGTTTTGGTTTGGTTGTGTGCATGTCACAATCACCAATTTCTTTAACTTTACTTGCAATTTATGCATAGACATTTCAGTTTGATCTAATATTCTTTGTAACTTTCTCAACAAACTTCAATTGAAGACCAATTCTTGAAATGGGCATTCACAAAAATATTTTAAACATACTTGTGGAATTATATTCTAGGAATTCAAAACATATTAAAAAGAAAAGGAGGAGACAGTGTAATTGATCTTTGCTTCTGTTAAGTCGGAGCTCAAACTTTCGGAGCTATTAGTTGTGAGAAAAAATGGGAAAACAAGGGTCTCCTAGAGGTCGTCGAGTGGAGAACCAGGAATTAGATATATCATTTGGAGTTAAAGAACATGAATTTCGAAGTTTAGATATGCAACATGGAGGTGATCCTCCTTTAGGAAGAAGGTTATCAGGGGGAGATTACAATTGGGACAAAGTTGTTTTGTCCAAAGGGTTGAAAAATGACTCTTTTAAGTTCAATCCTTCTAAAGGAGTTCATGTTGGGAAGAGGCAAATGTGGTGGCTGCATAGACATATTAAGTCTATTGCTTTCACAATTTTGTTAATGGGCTTTCTTTTCCTTTTAGATTCTCTTGTATGCTTGATTTTTGACCCTGCAATGCTTCAGAATAATTTTTCTTTACAAGGCTCAAGTAAGACCAAGGTATGACATTGTGATTCCTATAGTCTCCTCCCAGTCATTTTACGCCTTTCCAGATAACGATGATATAGAACAACACTAAGGTGATAGGAACTATGATTTTCACACAAGACCCTAGTATACTGAATGGAATGTGTAAACATGAATTTATTAGAATATATAGTATGAACTCCGCAAGGTGATTTATGTTAATTTGCTATCTAATTTTGTACCTGAAGGTGGGAATGCTAGAGAAGACAGCAAAAGAAGGTCCAGTAAAGCTGCATCAAAGGCTGCTAAATCTGGCTGCTGCTTCTCTTGCAGAGGTTGTGATACTCAACCAGATTAATTTCATTCAGAAATTGCATTTAAAACCATAGTCACTAACAATCCTAATATAACTTCTATCTTTTATTTGGCTTTCTTTAAATTGCTGCAGAGGGAGTTTAAGCAGGAGTCATCAAAGTTATGGGAGGAGCCATACCCTCAGGCATCATCTTGGAAACCTTGTGCAGATAAAACTAGTCCACAAGGTAAGGGCATTTTTGCTCTTATGTGTAGTTTGCTCATACATGAATTGTGTTGTTTTACGATATGCACCTTTAGTAGTAGGTGATTCGCTCTTTGAATTTTGAATTTCGGTATATAATTATTTAAAGTTGTCAGGGCAGGGAAACCTAGAAACATCACTGGCTATATACTGATCAGCGCAAATGGAGGACTAAATCAACAGAGAGTTGCTGTAAGTATAGAACACTGCTCTTTCCTTTTTACTGTTATGTTTGCTTATTCTTGAATAGATCATGAAATGAAGTTTTATAATTGTGCCCCCAGGTCTGCAATGCTGTCGCCGTAGCATCTCTCCTAAATGCCACTTTGGTCATTCCCAAGTTTCTTTATAGCAATGTCTGGAAGGATCCTAGGTTTGTTATTTTTGTCTGCTTCTAATTGTCCCTCTAGTTATTCAAATACCCAAGAAAAGAGGAAACATAGTTTTACAGCCAAAATCTCTTCCACCAGTTGGCTTAATTTAACAGCAAGCTATAACACTCTTTTTGCTGCGAGCACAGCCAGTTCGGGGATATATATCAAGAAGACTATTTCATGGATATGTTGAAGGACGAAGTTAATATTATAAAGGAGCTCCCTCCTAATCTAAAATTACTTGATGTAGAAGCAGCTGGAAGTCTTGTACGTTTTTCTCTTTAGTTGAAAAGTTGGGACAGATAGTATTTACTTTGAGGATAGCTTATAATACCTTTCACTTTTGCTAAGATAACTGATGCAGATTTATCAAAGGAAGCTACACCTGCTGAATACATTAAGAAGATACTTCCCCTCCTCTTACGCAATCGAGTTGTTCACTTTCTAGGATATGGAAATAGACTCGGCTTTGACCCATTGCCATATGAACTTCAGGTGAAGAGCATTCTTTAATTGTTTGATTGGCTTTGGAATATATGTATGTTTGGTATAGCATCTGCAAAAAGTATCTAGATTGTGCTACTTATTCATAAGACATTTGTATAAATGATCAATGATGGCATTTTAGTTTTTTGTTCTTTTGTATTGACAAATTTGTATTTTGTTGCAGAGACTAAGGTGCAAGTGCAACTTCCATGCCTTAAAGTTTGTGCCAAAGATCCAAAAAACAGGTTCTTTACTGGTTAGGCGGATTCGGAGGTATGATTTTGCAAGGAGCACATTGGACAAGCAACTTCTTGGAAACTTAATACCGCGTGTTCCATCAATAGAACATAATGCAGCAGAAGGCCCCTCCAAGTACCTTGCTTTGCATTTAAGGTTTGAGATTGATATGGTGGCCTACTCTATGTGTGAATTTGGTGGTGGAGAAACTGAGAGAAGGGAACTGCAAACTTATCGACAAGTCCATTTTCCTTTACTTCTTGAGCGTCTTAAGGAATCAAAGTATAGTTTCTGCTGTACAACAGTTACACACCTTTTAGTTTGACATAGTTTGAGTGATAGTTCAACTGACCATAAGTTTCGGTTTTACTGGTGTCTGCAGGTCTTATTCTCCAGAGGAGCTAAGAAGGATGGGCAAATGTCCATTGACACCAGAAGAAGCAGCACTAGTTCTCGCTGGCCTTGGTTTCAAACATGGGACATACATCTATCTTGCTGGTTCTGACATATATGGAGGTCAATCAAGGATGCAAGCTTTAACTACCCTCTATCCCAACCTAGTGACCAAGGAAAATCTTCTCTCACCAAGTGAACTCGCGCCATTTAGAAACTTTTCTTCTCAAGTAAGTGGCTTCTGATTTGTAGGCATGGGAATACACACACAAACACACAAAAACGAACACATTATGTGTGACCCTAACAACAGGTCACTTATAATGCAGCTTGCAGCATTGGACTTCATTGCATGTGCAACATCCGATGTATTTGCAATAACAGACTCGGGCAGTCAGCTATCATCCCTTGTGTCGGGGTTCAGAACATATTATGGTGGTGGTCACGCTCCCACATTGAGGCCTAGCAAGAAGAGGCTTGCTGCAATTTTGTCAAGAAATAAGACCATAGGATGGAACAGTTTCAAGGAGAAGATCCGAAAGATGATTGATGAAGGTCAGAGAGTGCAGGTACGAGGTCTTGGTCGTAGTATTTATCGACACCCCAGATGCAAAGAATGCATGTGCAGGCATTAGAGTGATCAAACTTTTCCTCAGCAACTCCAAATTCCTTGTCCAACATTGATTTGTTGAGTAAAAGAACATTAGCAGATAGTACATAAAGTTGACCCACTTTTATATCAAATCCAAGTGGAAAAAGTGTTTAAACTTGGCTCGCGTCCAAAAGCTTTTGGCAAGTGAATTTTTGCTTGCACCTTCGTCATTGAAGGCTTAAAACTTTTGCTTGCATCCAACAGAGTATGGTTAAAATGAAATGTAACGGTACAATCTTTTAAGAAAACCTTTTCATTATGCCAAAATAGGCCTTGACATTTATGGCTACAAATAAATTAATAAATATTCATGTCAATTGATCTCTACTTCCTAAGATAGTGCATTCCTCTTTCATTCTAACTCTTCTACCTAGAGAGGTCTTCATTTCCTTTCATCTCCAGTCCTTTGATCCAAATATATCATTAGGGGTCAACCCTGAGATAGGATGAGATAAAACTCTTCTCACTTCAACCTCCTTCCCTTTAGTCCAAAAATGTATCTTTAACACGATCATGAAGGTGGAAAGAAGCGGTTGAGATTAAAAGGGAGAGTGTAAAACTCTTCATTTCGACTATCCCCCTTAAAAGTCCTGAACTTCACCCACCATGGCATTCCTCTGTCTTTCGCACTGTCC